AAACAACCCTCTTTGGGTCTATTTTGTCTTACATCTATGTAAGCTGTATGGCCATGTAGCCAGCCATATGTAAGACAATAATCAGGTGTTATTCAATCTCTCTCTCTCTCTCTCTCTCTCTCTCTCTCTCTCTCTCTCTCTCTCACACACACACACACACACACACACACACATACAGTTTTGAGATTTAAAAAAAATATTTATGTATTTTATTTATATGAGTACATTGTAGCTGTCTTCAGACACACCAGAAGAGGACATCAGATCCTATTATATGTTGTGAGCCACCATATGGTTGCTAGGAATTGAACTCAGGACCTTTGGTTGGAAGAGCAGTCAGTGCTCTTAACCATTGAGCCATCTCTCCAACTCCCTTTTGAGATATTTTTAAAGCTACTTTATTAGGTTCTTATACCTCTATCTCCCTTCCAACCTTTATTCCACCCAATTCCAACTCACAAACACTAGGTAGGAGAGAAAGCAGGTTAGAAGGGAAAGGAAGCATAGACCCCTTTAGGCTACTTTCTTCCGCTGGTTAGGGGCATCGGGTTCCTTGGGGCAAGTTCAGTCTTCATAGTCCTCTCTCCAACTTCTTCTCTTGATCATGACCACGTGATAAACCACAACAGCAGCAATCAGGAACAGGAAGAGCAGCAGCCTCCTTCTTCATAGCACCCCTATCCCGCTCTGGACTCTGTCATTTATACCCTCTCCAGATTCTCCCCCCCCCCCATTAAATTATCTACAGCTGGCAAAAATCATGCCCTTGCTAGTGCAGGAGGCAAATCACAATCACCTGCTGTGAAGCAGCCTCTTATTTCACACCTGGGATTAAAACAAAAAAAAGTTCACATAACATAACTGTTTTTTTTTTTTTTTTAAAGAGATCAAAATTCCCAGTACAGGATCCTATTTAGCCTGGGATGTCTTGGAAACTTGCCATGTAGCTGAAGGAGACATTGAACTTCTGATCCTTCTGTCTCCACCTCATGAATGCTGAGACTTCAGGTACTCATCACTACATTGGGTTCCTGAGATGCTTCCAGGGCTTTCTGCATGCCTTCCAAGTACTCTACCAATTGAGCTGCACTCCCACTCCGCATATTTTAAGATGTAGGTTTCCTGTGGATGGATTAGCCAGGACATAAATTCTTGAGTACCAGAGAAGGCCAGCAGAGGGCAGCCACGGGGCTCCCAATTATGTGTTTCTTTCTCCTTCCCTTGAGGGGCGATTCCCGGCTGCTGCACCCGAAATCCCCAGTCCAGACACGGAATTCTTTCCTGTACCCTTACCCTTTAGGCAACATGAACCTATAGAGCCCAGGTCCCCAGAAAAGGCATGATCATCATGTTCTTTTAGATACATAACCCTCTGCATTTAGCTCCGACTTGGAGGAAAAAAGACCGTTCACGGTGCAAGATGTTTGGAGGCGACAGGTGGGCTATCAGGTACCTGTGGCAGGAAGCAGCTGTCAGTTCTCTCCAGTGCCCTTCCTTAGTGTCAACTGGGTCTATCCTGTTTTCCCAGTGAGATGTGCTGCCCACCCCCCCACCCCTCGCTATCGCCCCTGACGTGGGGCTTTGGGCTGGATGCTAATATTTCACAAACCAGGGATAGTGTGGGCTGAAAAGTATGTGCATTCTCAGATGACTCTGCTGTCTGAGCTTTGGGGAGGTTTTCTTTCCTTCTTTCTTTTTCAATTTTCTTAGTAATGGATCGTTTTTTAAACAAATTGCAGTTTTTTTTTTTCTAAACTAAGGAAAAAGGATGTTTTCAGCTGTTTACATAGATCCGTAGACAGATACCAATGAGGAGAGAAAAGTTCCTGAGCGGCCAGGAGCGTGTGTGTGTGTGTGTGTGTGTGTGTGTTTGTGTGTAGCTTCTCAGCCATCTGAGCCAAACAACCTGTTTTTCCTTTCCAACCCATTGTGGACCTGTACTTTTGTAGACTATAATAAAAGCAAATTACTAGAAAAACAGAATAAAAAAAGGCATACCTACAAAAGACAAACTCTAATTTTATGATTCTATTAAACAAACATACAATTACTGTCAGATTGCTTTAAAAGTTTCTAAATATCTGCTGTGATTTTTGTGCTTGTTACAGATTTCTTGAAAGCAGTTCAGGCTGGCACTAGTCTGGGTTACTGGTGTAGTAAGGGTGGGAAGCGGACAACTCAGGAAGGAGGCAGTCTGTGCTCCCTGGGAAGAACTGGAAGGGCTGGAGGCATCCAGAGCAATATCCACAGTTTTCCTTCATGAGATGACACATCTGTGTTTTGATATTTATATGAGGTGTCCAGTCCAGTTGGACAATCAAGTGGGACCCCCAGACCCTGTGGAGAGATGCGTGAGAAAATAGGCAAAGCAAGTCAAGAAGTTGGCAAAGATTTTATTGTTCACACAGGTTATATACTCTGAAAACAGGATATGGGGAGGGGCAGGAAGCGAAAGGGGGCTTTGCAGGTGGAGGAAGCTGGCTGCAGCTGTGGGGTCTAACTAGGTTATACCTGTTGTTCTCACAAAGCCTTGCCATTACCAGGGGTTCTAAAAATATCTATCTAGCAGGATCTTGGCTAAATCTAAAGGTCAGGGGGAAGGGTTACCAGGGGGGATTGCTATGAGGCCTTGTTTGAAGTTCTGAGAACTGACAAGTAAATCATGGAAGGTAAGCAGAAAGAAGAATAGTAGACAGGAGAGCCAAGGGTGAGTGTTAGCCAAGAGTAAGGCCTTGCCATGGCTTCCCACATGAGAGTAGTTTTTCTCTTGAGGGAGAAAATGGTTTGGGATCTGCAAGTGCACTCTGGCTGACCCATGGAGGTCCTCTGCCTCGAGCTGGTCAGTCTTCTCAGCAGGCTCTCTGGTAAGTGGCCATGAGGGGCTTGGTGTTTCCTGGTCATGAACTGGATGGCTGATAGGACAAGGATGGGAAGGGGCTAGGGACTTCCATCAAGTCTCTGGTAAACAGATCAGCCCCTCTGAAGGTACTTGCAAATTGCCCAGGGATCTTATTGAAATGCAGATTTTGATCTAACAAAATCTTGAGTTGGGTCTGAACAGTTGCATTTCTATTAAGTACCTAGGGAACCTCAATACTGTCGATATTGGAGAGCCTGGGGAGCCATATAAGATGTTAGCAGGTCTGTGGTGCCTCCTGGAAGAGAGCATTGATGTTTCATAGGCAAGGCAGGTGGGGTCTGCTGTCAGACTCTTGAAGTCAGACTCTGCTGTCTGTGATTCAGAACAGGAACCAGTAAAGCTGGGCCAGGGCCTAAAGGAGCATTGTTTGCTGAGTGTGGACACTTCAGACCAACACCAAACTGCCAGGCGCTGGAGATGAGTGGTAGGAGCAGCACAGAACAAGTGGATGTATTTCTTTTAACAAACTAGATTTTACAATCTCTTTTTAAATGCAAGAAATCAGTGACTGACTTTTCTGGGGCACTCTGCAGTCTGGAGCTTTGGGTGAGCTGAGGTCTGTTTCTGAACTGGGCATGCTCAGAACTGCAGGTGAAGACAGAGTTCTTGCTGCCTTCATGGCTCTGACCCCTTGTCAAGATTTTATGATATTGTATGGGCAGCCCATTTTCTGGTTTACTTTGGTCTTGCTGAACTTCTGAGAGGCCTGTTAGTGCTATAGTTAAGGGCTTTGTGCTTTCCTTTCAGGATAAAGGCAAGTATATTTTCTTTCTATATAAAAATCTATTTATCTATCCATTTATCCACAAACACACATACATATCTATCTGTATTTAGTTACCTAGTATCTTACCTATATCATCTTATCTGCCATGTTACCCATTATCTATCTATCTATCGATATCCATTCATCTATCTATCCAAATCTATCTTATCTATCCAAATCTATCTATCTATCTATCTATCTATCTCCTATGTATTGTCTATTATCTATCTAATCTATATATTATCTATTATCTATCTGTCTGTGTGTCTATCTATCATTTGTTTATCTGGAAGAAAAACCCTTTTCCATTTTTTCTGAAAGAAGATATGTGTACAATGTTACATCTGGAAGTGTGTGTGTGTGTATGTGTATGTATGTGAAGGTGGGAATTGTTCATTCCCACACCATCGCCTGGTTTCCCACTCAGAAGAGAACCTACAGTTCAGGAGCCCCTGGCCAGGAATAGGGCATACGGTTTTCCTCACTGCTGGGCTAGGAACTAGGTGACCCACAAAGAGACCTTAGAGCACTGCTGAGTACTGGGGTCTGGGGGCTGGGGTCTGGGGTCTGGGGTCTGGGGTCTGGGGGCTGGAGATGGGTATATGCTGGAGGAAGACACTGCACTAGCAGAGAGCATCATTGTAAAGACCAAGGGGGATCTTGGCAGGTCCTGGTGTTTGAATCCAGATCGTTGGTGGGAATCTCATTCCTTTCATCTCAATCCTTTCATGCATAGCGAGGATTATCCTGTGAGAAAGTCAGGTCAGTACAGGAAGGCAGATAGGGAGGCAGGACAAAGGGCTAGAGGGCCTTTGGGGTAGGCGTTTTAGGTCTGGTTGTGGAAGGAGAGACATTCATGTCAGGGTGTTAGCATTTTTCTCCTTCCACTTTCTGGCTTCTGGCTTCCCTTCTCCAAGAGAATTCAGACCCCTTTACTTCTGTCTAATTTGGACATAGGAAGAATTAGGATTGTTGACTTACATTTTAGTTCCAACTCAGCTACTACCAAGTGTGTAACCTTATTAGTCATTGTATCTGAGAAGTCCTTAGTTCGCTCAACCACGGAAAGAGTGATGGTATTAACTTCCTCATAAGGATGATAGAAAGGGTCAAGAGAGATGACGTGTAAAAGATGATTTAAAAATAACTGCCACAAAGTATAACATATGTATATGAAAAGGCCACAAGGAAACCCATAATGCTACATGCTAACTTCAAAGATATTAAGAGCTGGGAAATGCCATGGATTAGCAAGTAAGGGATCTGAAAAGAGTTACTACTGACCATCTTTTTTACAGGGTTTGAAGAAATAAATTAGAACCGCATCGGCAACGACCATCCAACCAAGCAGGCTTGCAGGTAGCCAGATGATAAGCGTGTTGCTCTTGGTCAAGACAGTACCTGAAACTGGGGAAATAACTATTCAGAAATACATCCCAGAGCAGCACAGGAGACACAAGGACAGCTTTGAGGGAAACATGTGGCTTGGAGCAGCCTTGAAAGTGGGAGTGGAGATGGCTCAGAAGATGCTAGGATGACTTATCATGTTATGGATGGCCATGTTACCCCTCCCCATGGGGACCCCACCCTCTGCCAGACACTCCAGTTAGGGTCTGTGTTCAGTGAAGAAGGTACGGTGGAAGGTTACAGAGTAGTGAAGTCTGACTCCTGACAGTTACAGGGGGTTAAGAGATTATGTGGGACAGAACATACCAACGAAGGGGAACTTCTTGGGCTCACTAACATCACTGGAGAGGTTGTTTTTAGCTTCACAGGAATAGTTCTTGGCACTCCACTCTGCCTTCACTGAGGCGAGGAGGGAGGCAGCTCTGCCAGAGGGAGCCAGGGGTTTCTCTAGGATTTCTCCATCAATGTAGAATGAGTACAGGATTGGAAGGGAACCCTGCTCGGCTTCACAGAGAAACTCCACCTTGTCTCCTACAGCAAGGTTAGTGGCTTCATGTTGCAGAGTGAGCACAGGATGGGATACAGGAGCTGGAGGAGAGCACACAGAAGGGGGAGTCAGCTTGACTGCCCAGGATCCTTTCTCCCCAGGACTCCTTACCTGCTCCCAGGGAATCCTGTTGCTTGATATCTGACCCTTTAGGAGTATCTCTCTTCCCTCATCCACTTACTCCAGAGTTGGATATCCAGATAGCCACTTTTTTTCTGGATTATGCTGTCCTCGGTGTTCACTGTGGCTATACACTGGTAAAGCCCAGAGTTTTCCTCCTTGGCTTCTGAGATGAAAAATATTGGGTTGTGACTCCTGTCTTGAACGACATGGTTGTCTTTGTAGAAAGAGTAAGAGAGCTGTAAAGCTGGCTGCTTGGGGTCTACCTTTGCTGTACACTTCAGGATCACATCTGTTGACTCTGAAGAGTTGAGGCGGCTCAGCACAGGATCCTGGAGCAACTCTGGGGAGACATGAATCCAGGCTGAGGAAGAAGTCCTATAGAGTGAAGCCCAGGGGGCTAAGGACTCACCTTCTGCATAGGTCAGGCTACAACTGTGAGACCAGAAGAGAGAGAGAGATTTATCCCTAGAGCTTGCCTATTGCTCTCATGCAGGGAATCTGGAATGACTTCCAAAGCCAGGTCCCATGAGAACCCCAGAAGGTCAGAGTCAGAAGATTCCTTAGTGGTTGTGGTCCTCAGAGGCGAAAGGTGGGTTATCTGGGATGGTCCAGGGCTCTCTCAAATTCCTTGCATCCTTTGGCTACATGTTGGGTGTTTTTAAAAAAGATTTATTTTATTTATGAGTATACTGTCATTCACTTCACACACACCAGAAGAGGGCATCAGATCCCATTACAGATGGTTGTGAGCCACCATATGATTGCTGGGTCTTAAACTCAGGATGTCTGCATGTTGTACATTATTGTGGAAATCTCAGGATCCAATGACTTACCCCACAATCATCTGGAGAGAGAGGTCTTGCCCATAGAGCCACCGACCTCCAGTATTCACGAGCAGTACCTTACTGTCCCACCAGACCCCTCCAACTGGTGACTCACCTTGAGCTCCAATCATGGAAACTGCAAGAGACCAAAGTGATAAAGGTAAGTGGCAGAAAGACTTTCACAAGAACAACTGGTATTATATCATTGTGAGCTGCCAACCACACAGCCCCAAGTCACTTGTCCATCTACCACCCAACTACTTAACCACTAAGCCCCTCAATTACCGCCCCCAACCAATTAACTAGAAAACATTTATAGTGGACACCTCCCCATAATCCTCTATACTATCTCTGGTGAAATTTTGTCTTTCCAGACAGGCCTTCCCTAGGATCCTGATCAGAAGAATCCTCATGTTCATAGAATCCTATTGTATTACTGTTACTTTCTAGAATAACAGTACTCTGCAGACCTACTACTAGTACTCTTCAGAGGATTGGCAGTATCCCAATTTATTTGTGAGACAAGGTCTTACTCTGTAGCCCAAGCTGCCCTTGAACTCATTATATAGCCTAGGCTGGCCTCTGACTCATGGCAATGCTCCTGTTTCTGGTTCCCAGGTCTTGAGATGACAAGTCTGCTCCTTCAAGTAGAGTTGGAATTTGTCTTATTTGTTAAGGTGCCAACACATTATTGTTACAATGCCTCTCTGTAGGGAGTATGGTGAGCTTTGCCATCTAACTGGTCCTTGGGGCTGGTTTGAAGTCAGTTAAGGACTGTCCCTCAAACTTTCTACATTTAACGTGGAGGCAGATTCCATCATGTTTGATGTGGGGACCTCCAGCCTTCTAGTTACCTGATAACTGACAATTGTTGCCCATTATGATGACCACACCATGCATGTTTTTCCCATGTATGTCTGATGAGGAGAGAAGAATGGAGAACGCATGGACTTAATCTCTGTTGGATAGGTGTTGTCATTTCTGATTTGCTCTTGTTACTTGGGTTACTCCAGGAGGGTTTCTGAGAACCTTGCTTCTCCCCATTGTTTAATAGGGATAAAAAAAAAAAAACTTCTCTAGAAAGTTCTAATGGCTAGATGAGTCGAGCATGCTATAGAGCAGGTGTTTGGTTGTTTTGTTCTGCTTTTCTTCTTCTCCCTGTCCACATCTGGGAGGAAATGGCAGATGTGCACTTTACTGCAACTGTGAGCACATGTCCACCCCTGGGGTAAGTGTGTGAAGCTGTTTTTCTGAGGTCCCTAGGCATCAAGTGTGACCATTTGTGTCTAGTTCTCCACTATACTGAATGCCACAAAGCTGGTCACTGCCTCCCTCTCCCTAGCTTTGCAGTTTGCTATCTAGATCCTGGGTTCAAAACTGAGGTGTCTAGGACTTGATATCAAGACAAGTCCCAAGGTTGGTTCCTTCCATGAGGTCATAGAACTTCACTCCACTACCTCGTGAACTGCCCCTGCAGTAGCATGAGTGTCAGTCACTTGCCAAGATGACCGTCCCTAGAGCACAGAATGGCACCATGATGTAGAAGAGAGAAGAAGTCAAAGCAGAGCTCAACAGCCTTCCGTTTTCACAAGCTCTGACCAGGAAGAGGTCACACTTTGGAATAATTTTGCTTGTCTGTTCCATGAAATAATCCAACCAAACAAACAGCAAAGAAACAAACAAGCAAATAGTTCACTGGAAAAAAAGTTGTCTTTCTCCACCCCTCCCCCCAGCCCCACTCAAAAGATCAACTAAGAAAATTGTCAATGGAAATTATACATACAAGTTATAACCCATTGGACCTAGGTGAGCCTGAGCTGCGTTTAAGGGATCAGAGACCCTCTGGACTGTAAGCTTTTACTCTGGAGCAGTCACAGAATGACTGGCTAATGTGGCTGGAGAAACAGCGAAGAGAGAGACATGGATTACTGACTTCAGACCAGCCCCAAGGACCAGTGAGACGGCAAAGCTCATCATATTACCTTCAGAGAGACAACACAGGCAGAAGAGGAGGGTGAGCCTGAGAAGGGTTTTGGATAGCCTGTGTGCAGGACTTTTGACCAAGGGAGAACTCTGGCCATCAATAAATGGTACTCAGAGAATTCTAAGGCTTCATAAGAATGAAGCCTCCCAAGTCTCATTGTTGCCAAACAAAATGAGAAGCCCTTGCACCCCTGCCTCTGCTCTTCCCCCCGATGCTCGAAGGGGATACCTTTCCTTAGGATAGTCTCAAAAATTATTTCATAGGGTAACAGTGACTATGAGAAACAATGGGACCTCAGAGTCCGTTTCTCTAGTTTATTTCTGATTAATTGAGGGCCTGCTTTGCTAAGAACCTTGGAAAAGGATGTGAGAATGCTTCCACCCCGTGCTAGCTCCTCTCAGCTTGCCAGTATGCACACACTTTTCTCAGGCTCCACAAACTAATTCTCTGTGAATCTGGAGAGGAAAGGCTAGGACCAGCATCTTAAAGACCACTTACAGGAAGGGGCACTAGAGCCCCTTAACTCACCACGGAGCAGTAAAATCATCCAGAGCAGCATGGTGCCTTGCGTGAGGCAGAGCAGGCCAGGCAGTAGGCAGAGCTGAAGCTGGGGAGAGAAAAACTAGTCCTTCTGACCTGAGGGTGAGTGGTGGCCCTTCTAATTTAAAAGGTGTTAAGACTTGAGGAAGTGGTAGCTGTTGGGGAATTCTACATCTGCAACCTCCAGGTAGCCAGGTGTGCGGATGTAAAACGTCTCCAGGCATCCCAGATGTCTCTCTTCCTCGCCCTCCCTCTCTCTTTCCTCCTCCCCAAGTTTCTTCTCTCTATTCCCTGTGCATGCCCTCTTTCAGGGCTCTCTCTATGCCTCTGCCTCTTCCCCAGCTGCTCATTCTCCCGCAATAAACTCTTTTTACACTAGATCTGTTGCATGCTGTAAATTCTCAGAAGTTTACCTTGGCTCCGGCTGGTCAAAGGTGATCCCCCTGCATGCCGCATTATATTTCATAACAGAAAGCGAGGAAGAAATTTGGTAAGCTCACATTGGCATTTCCTTTTTTGTCATATATATGTATGTATATGTATATACATATATACCTAATAAATATATATTAAACATAATATATTTAATATACAACATTTAGTAAATATATAAATAAAATAAATATTAAAAATAAATTTAAAAAACATAAAATAATATATAAGTTGACTTTATTCAACACAAAGTATGAAAGAGTCAGGTAAATCACTAATTAGCATTTTCTCTGGCTTCACAAAGCTCATGGCCAGGGAACCAGGATGGATTATAGCCATGGGTTATCTCCTCTGAAAAGCCTCCCTGAGTGACAGAGTAATCCTGAAGCCACTTGTCACTTAGCTTTCACCCTTCCAGTAGCCTGATGAAGTCTTTCCTTGTATAGTCTGGCTCTAGAATAGTCTCTCAAGACCCGTGTATTAAAGGTTTGACCTTGGGTCTAGTTTAGGACGCTGAGCTTAATCGAGAGGATACAGCCATCGAGAATGTGCGATCTGGGCTCTCCCGATCTCTCTCTGCTTCCCAGCAGCCATGAGGTAACAGACACCACCATGTGCTCTCTGATGTGATTTGCTGCTGAGCCACAAACTCAGAAATGGATTCAACCACCAGGAGAATAAGTGTGGCAGGATTTACTAAGAGGAGAATGAGGATGCGTGATGACCCAGGAGGAAACCGGGGATGAAGGATGACTCAGCATCTTCCTGAGGATGTACATATACGGGCATTGAAATACATGAAGTGTTTTCATAAAGAACTCAAAGGCCCGTCAAAGATGTCTCCGTCGTCACTGAGGACAGAACAGAACATACGACATGAAAGATGGAGGGATCTGGTTAAATTGAAGGAGGAATTTTCTGGCAATAAGGGTTTCTGAGGAAGTCTAGACGAGAAGTTCTATGTGATAAGTTATGTCTCCACTAATGAAATGAGCCAATTCAAGCCAGGCACATACACATACATACATACATACATACATACATACATACATACATACGCAGCATATGCAGGTTTATTGGGAAACTGCTCTTTTTTAAAGAAAAAGCTATTTAGTTTTTGTATGTGAGTGCACTGTAGCTGTCTTCACACACACACCAGAAGAGGGCATCGGATCCCATCACAGATGGTTGTGAGCCACCATGTAGTTACTAGGAATTGAACTCAGGACCTCTGGAGGAGCAGTCAGTGTCCTTAACCACTGAGCCATCTCTCCAGCCTGGGAAGCTGCTCTTGGGCAGGCAAGTTCTCTGGCCCCAAGGAAAAAGGCTAGGGAAGTTACCAATAGAAGGGAGAGAAGAGGGGAAAGAGAGAAAAAGAAAGACCACACAGAATGAGGGAGAGTGTTGGGGCCACGGGTATACAAATAATAAGGAAAGGACCCCTGAAGTCAAAAGCAACTTTATTCATTGCAGGAAATGCTTCTAATCAGTTAGGGTCAGGGTCAGGGTCAGGGTCAGGGTCAGGGTCAGGGTCAGGCTTGGAGGTGACAGCAGTAGCCCTGACAACGTGGGAGCAGTCTCAACTTTTCCTCAATCTGAAGGGGTTAATGCAGGCCATGTGGCTTTACTGAACTGAAAAGAATGTAGGGATGATAGTTTGTAGTAAAGTGAGGAAGCAGAGCAATACCTGAAGCTCTGGGCTCCTCAGATGGAGAGGGGGAGGGGGAGGGGGAGGGGGAGGGGAAGAGGGAGAGGGAGGGGGAGAGGGAGAGGGAGAGAGAGAGAGAAAGAATATCAAAATGTCTGGATTATATAGGGAGGAGCCTCTGGGGAAGGGCAGGCCAGCCCCTGGGCTGAAAAGTTCAGGGTTGGGAGCGGGTTATGCCAGGTAGGGACTGAGGGATGCTGACAGAACCTGGAGGCCAGGTCTGCTTTGGTATGTAAAATACACATCTCAGTCCCTTGTCCCAGGGTCTGAAACCAAACACTATGTAGTTGGAGAAAATATCCATTTCCCGATAAAGGCAAGAACAGAGACAGTGAGTTTCCTGTGTTCTTGCCAAAGATTCTCTGATTTAGTGGAAGTGGGAACCCCATTCTGACTCTGACACTGCTAGGTAGTGTTCTCGTGGTCAGATTGCCTTATTATTCACGTAGTAAGGAGGGAAGATGGAGTCCAGTGTCTTACCCGCTCACCTAGAGGGGTTAGCATCTACATTTTCCTTCTTCATTCTTTGCCTGCAGATTTCTGGTTTTTCTTCAACTTTGTTCAGGAATGGGTGGCGCAGGTCAGTTCTTAGGAAGGAGACAGAGTGGCCTCAACATGCAAAGGATCTATGATATTGGGAGCATAGAATGCTCAAAGCAGCGTCTCCCTGATGTCATCTACTGTCATTGTGTCCCAGCAGTTGTGGGTGTGAAGAGAATCCTAAGTCATCACCCATCCCCTGCAGGTGACATGCTGGTGTACCTTCAGAGGTGGATGAATTGACTGTCTGAGCTCAGCTGGCTTTCCATCCCATGTGGATGAAGGTGACCCTGGAGAGTAGCAGTGAGGTTACAAATCTGCCCATGTCACAAATCTTCTAGAACTCAACCTACACTGAATGGAGACCTACTATGGATTAGTGAAAGGCTCCAATCCCATCATACTGTGTTTGCGTTGCACCCTGACACTGTCGCCAACAAAGTCCACCCGAGAACCACGCACTGAATTACAAAAAGGACACTGCAGAAGTATTCAGCAGGCGTATAATTTTGTGTTGGGCTGCACTTGTATCCTTGGCTGTAGGTTAGCTATATCTGCAGGGCACTGGACAGAAAGGTGGGAGGATTCTCTTCCAAAAGAGACAAGCCCATACCTAACTGTGCAGGTCACTGTCAAGGAAACATCTGTGAGGGCCAGTGGTTGTTGGGGACTGAGAAACATCAGCTTAACAGGAGGTCAGAGGGGAACTCAGGAGAACAGTCACTGGGGACAGCTCTGGGCATGGGGGCAGCAGGCTAGGTGTGCAGTCAATCAGCCACCCAAGCTTGAATCCTTGCTTCGATTCTTAATCTGATGAGAGGCCTTGACTAAGTTTTACAACCTTTTGGGTTTTAGAGACCTTATCTCTAAGGTGAACAAATGATTATACCGTGAGTGAAAGGAAGGTTTCCTGAGATTTAAAACCATGAGATGCTGTCTCTTGGAGCACTCTAAGATGCTGAAAATCTTCCCTGGCTGCTTCCTGTGGTAGCTCTTGATTGTACCATAGATATCAAATATTGGAAATTGGCTGGCATGGCTGAGGAGCTATAACTGCACTTGGTTTTGTTTTAGTAAATTTAATGTTTGACGTTACATGTGGCTTGGCTGTTGGTTGCCTTCTTGGTCATCACAGACTTGGAGCCATAGCATACAAAGAAGACTTGATGAAGGCCAGCATTGTTAGAAGAGTGAGCCAGGCTGCCTGGCACTGCTAGACTTCCTCCTCAATGCCACTTCCTTGGGAGGTCTAAAAGATGAAGCAGATTGAGTGCAGGTACTTAGTTGTTCAGTTTGTGACTGGGACCACATGGTTTGCTGGAAGCAGAGGTCCAAGAAAGACCCCAGAACATTTCTGAGTTAGGTTCCAAAGACAGGACAAATTGGAGATGTGTAATACATGCTTAAAACTTAGGATGGGAGCTGAAAGGTGAAGACAGAGGTAAGGGAAGGAGCCAGATGGAAACTGAACTCTGAGCCTGGACTGTAAGGGAGGAATCACTAGGTGGCATCTGGCCAACCCCCCTCATTCCCTCCCCTTGTCACCTTCCTTCCTCCAGAGGCAGCTAGGCAGAACTTGGAAGGGCCAATGGGAAACTGTTTGAGTCAGGTCTGCAGCGACTCCTTGTGGCTACATGGACAACTGTTGCTTTAAGAAACAGTTGCTTTTTATTTCCTTCATTAAGTGAGATATAGAGGACAGGCACTGGGTGAGGAAAGGAAGCAGGGGATGCTTATCAGGTGTGGGGAGGGGGTGAGAGGACTGGGAGAGAGAATGAAAATTGGTGGGGGTCGAGCACCTCTGAAACAAGCCAGAGACTGTGGACAGTGATATGTAGGTGACCCTAGCCGAGACTCCTAGCAGCTGAGCATATAGAGACTGAAGTAGCCACCTCCTGTAGCCAGGAGGGACATCCAGCGGAGAGAGGCCATCAACCAACTCACAAAACCTTTGACCCAAAATTTGTCCTGCCTACAAGATGCACAGGGATAAAGATGAAGCAGAGACTGAGGGAGCAGCCAACCAGTGACTGGCCCAACTTAAGACCCATCCCACGGGAGAGGGACAATCCTCGAGTCTATGAATGATACGCTGGTACGTTTGCAGACAGGCATCTAACATAACTGTCTTTTGAGAGACTTCATCCAACACCGGATGGAAACATGCTGAGACCCACTGCTAACAGCAGGTGGAGCTCAGGGAGTCTTGTTGGGGACAGGACCGGGAGAGCCAGAGGGGTCAAGGACCACAAGAAGACCTACAGAGTCAACTAACGTGGGCCCATGGGGCCTCACAGGGACTGAGCCACCAGCCAAAGAACATGCAGAGGATGGACATT